GTGTAATAATCTTGAATGGCCAAGTCAGTGACCTGATCTTAACCAAAACAAACATGCATTTCACTTGTTGTAGACTAAACTTTGAACAGAAAGGCTCACAAACAGCAACTGAAATCAGTGCAGTAAAGTCTGGACAGAGCATTAAAAAGGAGGAAACCCAGCATCTGGTGATGTCCACGACTTCAGGCTGTATTTGCCAGAAAAGGGTTTTCAACCAAGTATTAGAAATGAACATTTTAGTTTCAGTTATTTAATTTGTCCAATTACTTTTGAGTTGTATTACAAAATGCTTTAATTCCTCAAAGTATTGTGCAGTATTTTTGTTCAACCCACTAAATTAAAGCTGCTGAAGTTAAATAGAGATCAGAGCAGTTGGAGATTAAGAAATCCCATCCTTAGACCTGTTTTTTTTTTATAAGACTGAGCTAATCACACAGCAATGCTGCAGATGATGAAAAGACATTTCTTTGGTAAGTCGTGTTATACCCCAGATGGAACCGAGCACATCAAGTAATAACTCTGTATTTCAGTGGTTAAAATGTTATGTAAAAGTGTTTATATGTAATGCATTAATAATAATGCATTACATATAATATTTATTTATATATTTATATTTATTATACATTTATATTTATTATAATGCAATAATAAAGCATAACTGGTAGAACAACCTGTCTGATGTGTATACAAGTGAGTGTGATTAAGTTATAGCAACTGGCTGACATCTGCAGGTGATTTAACAACTGTAAAGGTGAGTGGGTCGTCATGCAAAATGTCAGAGCAACACTTCAACCGATAAATAATAAATAAAAATTCAGAGGCTTCAAATTCATTAACATACATGTCCTGCTGCCTTCAGCTGAATGGAAAGGTTTAACGAACTGAATGAGACATTTTTCATGCAGTATAAAAACGCTGTTGACACCTCATTAAATGGGACTTACTCATCCATTTATAGATAAATACAGGATGGTTTACAGATGTTCCTGCTTCAGCTGCATTAAATGTTCATTAAATGCATCTGCTGACTGGAAAGTGATTCATTATAATGGTTTATTTACGCGTTATACATAAGTATTTACTGTTGAACAACTGTTCCAATAACTTTACTTGTTTTTATTGATTAAATCCGCAAAGTGGATGCAGATTGAGCAATGTGCTTCTGAGCAAACGATTGTGAGAGTAATGTTTAAGACTCAAAGAAATTCAGCTGAATTTACAATGAGGCAAAAACATTTTAAAATATCTGTCACAGATCTAACTTTACATTTAATAAATAAATGGATATATATTTGTACACATTTAAACTGATCTGTCTCAGTCCGTTAAAAAAAAAATGCACATAGAATTTCAAGACAACTAACAATAACTCTCAGCTTTGTCCATTATTCAGACCAAATTACATTTAGCTTTCCTTTCAGGAAATTACCCAGCCTGCAGAACAAAGTCTAAACTGTAAACAAAGCAACAAAGATTGTGAAATGGACTCAGATTTATTGATTGCTCCTACCCTTTGTCACCAGACTCTTTGACGGGTTTGGCTGGAGGAGCATTCTCTTTCTTCTTCAGATATTGCTTCAGTTGCTCAGCTCTGTCCAGGTAGTCAGCACACTTTGCCCTGATGCTCTGCTTCGCCCGATCGCCTTGGGCCTCATCTGCAATGCAAAAACTGACTTAGATCATTCATGCGGAACCGAAGTGGAGTTTAAAACAGCACAAAGGATGTACAAATCCAACAGTGGTACAAGTTTCTCACACTTCACAACATGAAGGAAGTATTGCACTGCCTGCTGATAACATCTGAGGGCCTCTTCATAGTTTTTGGCCTTGTCTTCCTCTGCGGCCTTGCTGGCCAAATCTATAGCTTTCTGAAAACAAACAAGATGAAACAGAAGGATTTATTACACATTTATAGAACTTATATGAATTTTTTTGGTTCTTGTTTGTGCTTCTTGTTTGGTCATATATGCAGGTAAGTCGTTTAGCGTGGTGGGGC